CTCGGGTCAGATACTGTTAGCTAACCGAGCCTCCTTCTCCTGGGGACAGTTCCAGCACTGAGGCTCTGGGGGCCCCCAGCACTTTACTCTGAGGAGTCATGGGGGTGGGGGCCACAGAGGACTTGGGTCTCTTATCAGGAAGCACAACCAATTCCTGCAAAGGTCTAAAACCCTCACCGGACCTCACAAAGATGACATGCAGAGCAGAGTCAACATCAAAAATGATCTAGATCAGAATCGCCCCCTTCAGGCATGTTGTCCCCCAACTCCAACAATCACCCCACTGGGCAGGGGCTCATTCAGCCCTCAGTCTGACAGGGGAAGGAAGAGGAACATTTTAAAAATAGCCAAAGCTTGGTGAGCACTTGCCATGTGCCAGGCACAGTTCCAAGTGCCTGCCTGGCGTGTCCCACCTCGTGAAAACTCAGAAAGGAGGGCCTGGTGCCTCCCCATCTGAGGTTCAGGGAGAAAAGCCCTCGGCCCCAGAACTCAAGGTTACTTTCTAAACTGGAAGGAGCTATCCCTGACAACTCAGGAAGTGGTTTTCAGTTTTCCTGAATTACCTAGAATTCTGCATTCTTCTCTTCGCACCCTCCGAGCACAACCTTCCTTCCCAATTGCATAATGGGCTCTCAGGTATTTTGGAGGAAAGGGAGTAAGAGTAAATCAGAATAAATGCATCCTTGTTGTTAAAAGTGGTTTAAAAATGCTTCTATGGTTGAAGTAAAAACCAGTCCTATGGTAACTGGGACTTGGCGGTCAATGGCCAAACCCAACGTCAGCCAAGACACAGACAGTGGCCCTGATACCTCAGGGATGGCTCCAAAGCACAAATGGCAGGAGGGAGCTATGACCTGAGCAGATGAATGCAGGGAGGAAAGAGGGAGAGGCCGGGGCTGCAGCACAGGACAGAGCTAAGCACCAGACCCTTAAAAACACCAGCACAAGCACCTGCTGCAGATGACTTGTGGGGGCCCCACCCCCTGCCCTGACATGAGCCCCTCCGGGAGGCACTCATCTGCCTACAAGCAGCCGTCCCAACCTCCCTCTGGCCTTGCAGTATGTCACAGGGCAGAGCATGGAGATTCCTGCCCTCTTCGGCTCAGCTCTTAGGCTGGAGTCCTTCCTCTGCAGCCTTCCAAGCAGAGAAAGCCCCCGCCCCCCCCCCCCCCCCCCCACCAGCCACAGTCCCCAACCCTCTCCTCCACAACTCAGCCAAGAACAGAGGGAAAACGGAACCCATTATTCTCATTCTAGAGGACTGGGAAATGGCTTGTGCTTTTCAACATGAAATGTGCCTAAAAATAAGCTGTGAATTTCAACCAGAGGGTGAAAATAGCTCTGGCAGTGAACAGAGCTCTGTTCAGAGTGCGCTCAAGGATGGCCTTCATTCCAGGAGTGAGAGCTGAATGCTGCGGCCCGAGCAGGGTGCTGGCCAGGGGGCTTTCCAGGGCAGAGGGGCCATCACGTGCTCGCAGGGCTGCCCTTGCCATGCTCTGTCAGTGGGCCTGCCTCTGGCTTTAGATTGCCATACTCCACCAGACACGCGGTACCTGCTCTGGTGGCTTCCCCAAATGCCCAGGCATGTCTCATGCCGCTTTAGGGTCCGAGGGTGCTGGAGGGGGAGGGGTCACAAGAGTTAAGAGCTCCCAGGGCACAGGCCAAGCCAACGCACCCTGGCCAGCCACCAAACCACTCACCGGTTACTATCTCAGCCAGAGAAGGCAGCAGGCAGGAAGGGCAAGAACACTCCAATTGTAAGTGAAGAATATCAAGTTGCTAAAGGTCTTTTTTTGTTGTTCACCGTCACCTCTGGAAGATTCCAAAGTGTGACAGGCCAAATGACATTTTTATAAAACAGATTTGTGTTAGAAATAGGCTAGAGACCTGAGCCACAGCTGTGGGGGCAAGCCCAAATCTAGCCCGACTGAGCAGGCACAGGAGCTCTAGGGTCCTCACACTCGGGGCAGCTCGCCCTCTGTACCATCTCTGTGCCCCTCCAGCCACAAGGACATCCCTAACCCCAGCCGTGGTCCCACACTCCTCCCTACTCCTCCCGCCGCTGCAGCAGCCACCCTGCTGGGCTCATTCTTGAGGCAGGGATTAGTGCAGTGACTCTCAACTGGGGGCCATTCTGTCTCCCAGGAGACATTTGGCAATGCCTGAGGACATTTTTGGTTGTCACAAGTAGGGGGGTGGGGAGATGCTATTGGCAGCTAGTGGGTAGAGGCCAGGGATACTGCCAAACACCCTACAATGCACAGGACAGCCCCTGTAGCAAAGATTTGTCTGTCGCCGAGGTTGAGAAGCCCTGGGTTACTGGAGGGGCAGTATGTGGACAGACGGAGGGACAGGGGCTCATCGGATGCAGCGGCCCCTGGCACATGGCTGCAGCACACCTGGGCTCCCGGAGGAGCTGAGACGCCCTTGCCAGGCATGAAATCAGTCACTGTATCTCAGTGCCATGGAAGCCTTTGGGCAGGAAGGTGAAACTATACTTGTCAGCTTCCCTACCCACCACGGCGGCAAATCTAACCACCAGGCAGTGCTGGACCAACTGGCTCTCCCGCGCTTGGGAAGATGGAAAAACTCTATGGATGCTAGTGGTGATGGCTGTGTAGCAACATGAGAGTACTTAATGCCACTCGGCTGTATGCGTAAAAATGGTTAACAGGAGACAGTTTATGTCACGTATATAAAACGCAACAAAACAAACAAAAACCCCTTAGCTCTCCTCTTGGCCTGGAAGTCCTGAGATCAGAGACACTCCTACAAGTGTACTCCACATGGTCTGCTTTGGTGTGGGTGTGTGTCTGGATGAGGGCCCATGCATCTCCTCAGCATCCCAAAGGGGCTTGTGACAAATAAGGGAAGAGCCATAAACAAAGAACAATTTTAGGACTAATAAGTCACCATGTGGGTCAGCAGAGTTCAGCTATGTCGTATGTTGGGTCCTCAGAGCCTGCCTATAGGGGTACACGGGTCCCATCGTAGAAACAGAGGCTTGGGAAGAGCTGGGTGCTTTGTCTGGGACCAGACAGCCAGGGTTCAGACCCAGTTCTCTGGCCCTAGAGCCCATATCCTTTCCTCTGTTTGAGTCCACGTGGTGCAGCCCGGTGGAACTGTGACTACAGCTCTGTCATGGGCCTGAAGGTAGTAGGGGAAGAAATGGTCTTCCCGAGCACTGGTGAGGGGCTAGCCCATCCATACCAAGCCCTGCCCTGTCCTGCCGGCTTCCCTCACCCTGAACATCTTCATGCTAGATTATCAGGGCCCACAGATCTGGGATGCAAGAGTGCTCCACACCCCATATCTGAGCAGGACTGAAGAGACAAGAGGCAGCTTGCCTAAGCTACTTCCCTAATAGCCACAAGAAAAGGAGCACAGGATTCTCCCCTTGCTGATGGTTACTGACCATTCCCAAGAGACAGGTAGCAGTGACCCTTCTCTGGGATGGGGAAGAGCTGCCAGGCAGCCCTCTGCCACCTGCAGCTTCTAGCTCAGTCTGCCTTGCTCAGAGGGGCCAACATGGTGAGCCTGCAGGTCTAGGCATCCGGGGCAAGTGACTAAGCCCAGATGGCTCATCTGTGAATAAGGGTAGTAACTTTGCCCACTCAGCCTGACGAGGTAGGGGATTAACAGGGCAGCACACGTTAAAGGCCTTGGCTGGACTTGGTTCAGTGCAAATGCCCAACAGGCAGGGCGCTGTAAGGGAGATGGCACAGACCCCGCAGGATCCCAGTCCTGCAGTTTGAAAAATGCCTTCTAGCGGTGTCTGGGTGGCTCAGCTGATTGAGCGTCGGACTTTGCCGACTTCGGCTCAGGTCATGATCTCAGTTTGAGTTTGAGCCCCACATCAGGCTTGCTGCTGTCAGCACAGGGGACAGGGGATCCTGTCCTCTCTCTCTCTGCCCCACCCTGGCTTGCACTCTCTAAAAAAATAAGCATTTAGAAAGGAAGGAAAGAGGGAAGGAGGGAAGGAAGGAAAGGAAAGGAAGGGAAAAGAAAAAAAAGAAAAGAAAAGAAGAAAAATGTCTTTCTAGATAGACCAAACAGCAGTAAAAAGACCACCATGCAACCCAGTCATCTGCCAACAAACCCCAAAGCTGAGAATCAGCTTCTCATTAGCAAATGTGGAGGAGAACAAAACCTCCTGGCCAAGGGCAACCTTGGAAGAAAACTTTAAGTCTCAAGCTGGCCCATTCCTAGAGGGAGACCCAACACATAGGATGGGTATGTTTAGAGGGGTGTAGGGGTACGTGAGTGTCTCAGGCTGGGGTGGGGGATCCCTCTGCTGGAGCCAAAGAAAGCTGGGGATGGACTCAGACTTCCTGGTTCTATTCTGGGCCAGCCTTGGCTTGCTGGGGGCCTTGGGCAAGCCGCTTCCTGTTGTTCAAGCCAATTTCCGTGGGTGGGAGAGGCTACACTGCCTCTAGGGTCCAGGAGGGAGAGATTCAAACAGCCTACGGCCATTGGCACTTAAAACCCTCAGGGCTCCACAGCCTTAGCTTTAAAGCTTATTTCAGCCAAAGCTGAATGCAACTTTATTCAATGAGATCATATGAGTTCTCAAACAAAAATATTTGTCAAAATATATTGTTAACTATTTTAATTCAGGAACACCAAATGCCCTTTTACCGACAAAGGTACTAAAAATGGCTTGTGGCTGAGGAACTTCCTTCCCATGGTTTAAAAAAAAAGGGAAGTGAGAGCAACAGGGCTGGGCCTTTCCCATCCGTCCCAGCTGTGGCCCAGGCCCCACGCCCTCTAGGAACCCTCCACTGGGTCCTGTGGCCCAAGGCTTAGCAGGGGCAGGTCCTTCCTTTCCTCAACCATGGAAACACCCCCTGATCAAATGGCACAGGACCTTGGCACCCGCAGTCCTCATGTCTTGCTTGTTCATTCTAGATTTGAAACAAAGTATAAGCACCAAAGTATTATTGCTGTTCACCATAACCACCAGAGTTTTAGGCTCAGGACACACCTGGTGAGCCACTTACCAGATTCCCGGAGGAGGTGGCCAGGGTGGCTGGGGGCCTGTGCACTTTTATGACTTCTCCATAATCCGCAACATCAAAGTTACTCTTCCAAACCATCACCTGCCAAGACCCACAAGCACAGAGAATCAGGGGGAGAAAAACCCTTGCCAGTCCTACTTCATGGAAAATACGAGCCCAGAGGCCACTCCCAAAGTTGTAGGCCAGTGGCAGGAGAGTCCCCACCATACACCCCAGCTCAACTAGGGGACCTGCTCCGCCTCCCAGGCTTTCTGGACAGGCCCTGAGAAGACCTGGGTACGCCATCAGGACGGCCTCACTGCATGCTGCCATGAGGCCTTTGCACTTGCTGGTCCCTCCCTGCAGCGTTCCAGCCCAAGTGTAGCTGTCTCCTCAAACTAGATTGTCCTCTTCCACAGCATCTTCTCAGAGAGAGCTTCCTTGGCCTCCTACTACCTTTTATCATAGCTCTCTACTTATTTCCTTCATAGCATCAGACTTGGTAGTTATTTAATTTCTCTGTCCCTCTTCCTCATTTATCATCTGTCTCCCCACTCAAACAGAAGCTCCTGAGGGTAGTGGCCTGGTCTGTTACACCAGACCACTGCGGCCAAATTCCCAGCTCTGTCCCTTACTGTGTGGCTCTAGGCAAGGGACTCAACCTCTCTGTGACTCAGTTTCCTCGTTTGTGAAAAGGGGATGATCTTCCAACCTCACAAGAGACAGCTTGGCACAGACACTGGTACCCAGGGAGTCACGGGCAACACACAATTATTCCACGATCCACTTGAAGGGTTTTCACATCCTTAGGTTCCTCCAACAAAAGCTTGGCAAACAGCTCTGCTGGGGAGCAAGAACGTTCCTACTGAAGGGAATCAGCCCCACGTGGCTGCCCTCTGCCAGGGTCACTTCCAGTGCAGCAGGAATTCCAGTACAGAGGGGACAGGGTCACTTCCAGTACAGCGTGGCCAGTGCTCAAGTGATACCACAGAAAAGGCCTGTGTTCAGGTAAGATGAAAATTCAGCATACCTAGGACACTTTCCTGAGGCTGCTCGCCACTCCCAGAGAAGTCTACCGTTTACTCCTCCCTGAATCATGGCCATTAAGGCCTCCCATTCCTCCCACCCACAAACAGAATTAGCACACACCCCCTTGTTCACAGGGCCATTTGTAACTGTACTAGTCTTGAAAAATTCCCAGGAATAGAACAGTATTACGAATGTGAAGATTCGAATGTCTCCAAAAAGACTCAGAGCAGACTTTAATAAAGCAGCCAGTGAGCTGACAGCAGTGGCCGCTTGAGGAGGGCCCAGAGTGGGCGGAAGCCCTACTTTCTACCAGGTCGCCTCTTGTACTATGTGACTTTCTTTTACCATGACTATTTCTACTGTGACTTTACTGTACTATTTTCCCTTGCTTAAGGAATGAACCAGGCCTCCGCACCCAGGGACAGCTCAAGGGTCTCCTTGGTCTTCCACCTCCCTTGTCTGGTTAGCAAAGGAACCAGTGCTGGTGGGGGGAGACGTCCACTGTTTCTTATCCAGGCCATGCTGAAAGAGCTTCCAACAACCCTCTGCTTTCTTGGCAGAAACTCAAGCCAGATCGGGCCACGGGGCTGGGGCTGGGGCTCACTGGCAGGCCAATGGGACCTTCCTGGCTAAGCAGAGCTGTGAGGCCCAGCATTAAGAGAATGAACATTCTAGGGGTACCTGAGTGGCTCAGTTGGTTAAGCATCTGACTCTTGATTTCATCTCAGGTCATGATATCACAGAGCTCTCACAGAGCCTGCTTGGGATTCTCTCTCTCTTTCTGCCCTTCTGCCGCCTGTACCCTCTCGCTCTCTCAAAAATAAATAAATAAACATTAAAAAAAAGAGAGAGAACATTCTCGGCAGGAGGTACCTGAGATGACAGGCAGAAAGCTTGAGCACACAAGGTGACAAAACGGGACAGGACCTCCTCACACGTCTTCTCCTTGCAGCCATGCAGTCCGAAAATCTGACCCCTCATATAGTGAACAAGTAGAATAAGAACAAAGGAGGAAGATGACAGAGTTGGGGGCCCAGGGCAGCCTCAGCTCTGTCGTCTGCCGGGACTCAGTTTCCTCATCCATAGAATGGAGGGACCAGAGAACCTGCCTACAGGGCCACCATAAGGATTGAATGAAGTATGAAGCTTCGGCCTCGTTGCCCACATCGCCAGGCTATGTATGTATCCCCTAATTATCTCATTACTCATTTCTAATCAGGAAAAAGAGTTACTAAGAACCTTCATTTTAACTTTTTCATGGGAACGATAGCTTGGGATCCTTCCAACCCATGCTGGTTTGAGCAGTGAGGGTTTTAAGGTGCTGCCACAGGGTCAGCATCCCTAGGAGACCTGTTTTAGGGAGATGAGCACCCTGGGTCCGAGCACCCCACCCCAAGTTCCAGCCTTCATGGTTGCTGAAAGCCACCAAGCTAGTGAAACCTGGCTCATCTTCAAGATGCTCTGGTCGCCTGTTCTCTCCTGATAAGTATCAGCCAACATGCCTCAACTTACTTGTTCATCAGAACCTCCAGAAGCAAAATACTCTCCCGTTCTTGAAAAAGCAACAGCGGTGGCTGGACCCTGTCAGAACAAACAAACAAAAAAACAAATACCAAAGGTCACTGTAGATGCTAAATGCACAGGAAGAAAGGCAGAAGCTCCCGGATGGGAGCAGCAGCAGGACAAAGGGCTGAGAGCCTCGCTGAGCCCCTAGTCCTCCCCTTGGCAGAGGCACCTGCAGAGCTCAGCCTTGAGTGCCACTGCTGAGGCCTCTGTCCCCCAGCACCACTGACAGCACAAAGGCCAGGTCAGGGGGTTGTGGGTGGGCAGAGAGGAGTGAGCAGGACACTATACACTGACAGCCCTATTGGACTGCCATCCCTGTGCCCACCTCCCAAGGATAACATGGAGGTCAGACAGGTGCACTGACCCATCCCAGGCCCAGCACTGGCACCAGAACTTGGGTCCCTCTGGCCCAGGCCACGCTCCTCCCCCACACCGCCCTGCAGCTGACCAGAGAAGTGTGCAGCCCTGAGGAGGAGCTAATGAGCAGAAACAGGGTGCAGTCAGGGAGCCCAGGTGACATAAGAGGCTAGAGTCAGGGTAGGAAGGAGGCTGGGAAGGGGTTATGAAAGGTGTCTGAGCAGAGGAGCAACGAGACACCTCCCTCTAATGTGCAAATAACTTTCTTTATGTTAGGATCTTGGGGGCAGAAGTGCCCACTCTGGCTTCCCAGGTGCTGAAGGTCCACACAACCATCGGAAGGGAGATGCGAGACCTGTGCCATGCAGTGCTTTGAGGGTGCATGAGCACATCCAGGCTTGGAGCAGGGGGGGCATAATCCCCCAGTAAAGAGGGAGGGCTCTTCTCCAGATGCCTGAAAGCTACTGCAGAAAGATGCACGGAGCCAAGAATATGTTCCCACAACACCGTGAACCATCTCTTCCTCCTGGCCAAACTTACAGCGTGGCAGTACTTGGCATTCCAGAAGCAAAACCAGATAAAAGAGATTCTCTCCTAACTGATGACAGCATGGCCACTATTACACAGGCCACCTCGGTTCCTCCAGACCCAGAGTGGGGAGCAGCAAGAGCCCCAACTGCCCAGATGAGGTGCCTCCGGCCATGGGGCAGACATAAGAGGTGGAGCCAGGGACAAGAGGAACACAGACACCCCTTCCACTCGATGCTGGAGGAGACCAGGGAAGTTCTGGGCTAGAAAACGGATCTGAAAGTCATGGAACAAGACCAGTCTCTGCCTTCCCAGAAGAGACAGGGAGGTGGAAAGCTTCCCCTGGGCACACCAGTCAGGAAGGAATAGGTCCCCCCATACTTCCCCAATCTATCCATGCTTCCTCCTCTCCAAGGTGCCCAGAATGAGGGTGGTGAAAAAGAAAATAAGTACAAGGCCAGCTAACACTAACTTGCACTAACCCACTTCATCTTCAGAGGATGGTCTGCACGCTTACACTTCCTACAGGTGACGTGTCCCAGAGAGAAGACCAAGGCCTGAGAGGTCAGAGACAAAGCCTCCAGCCTGTGCCTCTCCCTGCCTTCTCTCGCAGATGGGTCTCCAAGGGCCTGGGGTTCAGGGCAGTCGGGAGTCCTACATGGCCATCCAACAGGACAAAGGAGATCCATTCTTATGATGGGGAACATTGATTACACCAGTGAGTGTGAAATGCCAGGTGCAAGGCATCACGGGCTCTAAGCACAGGGCTGAGTATGGGGCCCGGGGGGGGGAGGGAGGGGGGAGGGCAGGTCAGGCATCACTCTAATACTCTTCTGGGTGAACAATCCCCAAGGGTTAACAAGGTAAACAGGACTTAAGGGGGGCACAGGAAGGAAATCTCAGGTGATTTTTCCTTGATTCTTGGAACTCTTTGCTAATTCCCCACACTTTGAACTCTTAAACAATGAGTATATGGTATTGCTATGTTAATATAAAAACAAAACAACAAAGCTATTTTCATTTTGAGGAAAAACAAAAAAGGAAGAGAGAAAAAAGAAGGAAACCAGGACACGGAGTGTCAACAGAGACGGGCTCTTTGCCTGCCCAGAGCTCACTGAGGAATAGCGGGTTTCCAAGAAGTCACAGCAACTAAGGAACCAAACAAATATTCATCAGCCAGTCTCCTTTCCTGTTGTCACTCTACCACCAGATGACAAGTTGGGGACAAGATTCTGGAGGTCAAGGGAACCTGGATGGCTTACTTGGTTAAGTGTCTGACTTCTGATTTTGGCTCAGGTCATGATCTCATGGTACGTGGGATCTAGTCCCGTGTCAGGCTCTGTGCTGACACAGAGTGGAGCCTGCTTGGTATTCTCTGTCTCTCCCCCCGCCCGCCTCTCTCTCTCTCTTTCTCTCTCTCTCTCTCTCCCCTTCGCAAAATAAATAAACAAAAAAACTGCTGGAGGCCAAGCAGTGGCAGTACCACTAAAGAAGGCAGCCGGTAGCCTGTGGCTTAGTGGGGGATTGGGACCATAAAGCAGATGCTAGAGCTTTCCCCAGAGTCCAAATGCCAGGAAACTCTCTGGGGAGGATGCCAGCAACATACAAGCAGTAAGGGGAGTCTTGAGGGGGGAGACCCACAGTCCTCCCCAGCAGTGCCCATTTACCCAGAGGATTGCTTGCTCCCGCACCAGGCACCTTGGTGTTCCTGGAAAGAGCAACATTCCACAAAGGCTCTTGTCTGTCTGTGGCCCACAAAAGCAGCTCCAGGGAGCAGCTGGCCCTGGGCTCTGCTGTGGGACAAAACCAGCAGGGACCGGAATGCAGACCGGGCTTCTCCACTACTGACAATCATCATCCCAACCCTTTGGTGCCCAGACAAGCCTGGCCCCCACCAACCTCGCCAGGCCCTTCTTCCTGCCCTCACTTGTGCTCCAGCCCCACCGGCCTGCTCACTGCTCCTCACCAGGAGCTCCAGACAGTCTTCTCTTGCTTCAGGATCTTTCTGTGACCTCTGGCATTGAGCTCTTAACTCAGTTACTTTAATCTCTCTCAGTTTTAAATAAACTCCTTTAAGGCTACACATTTACCTCTGATTACCACCCTAGATACATCCCCAAAGCTTCCAATACACAATATTGTCACTGGTGGCCACCTCTGAACATTTAGTTTCCACGGCGATTTCTCTTTAGCCCAGCAGCTACATTTAGGAGCGCTTTTTAGCTTCCAAACCATGAGGGCTTGACAGGAGCTTTTATCACTGACAGTGATTCAACGTGATACATGTTGAGATCATTCTGCCTTCAAGGTGGCTCATTCTTTTTGGTTAATTAGTCACTCTCAACGCATTAGTTCACCAGCTCAGGGCAGGAATGTTGCCAAGTTGTTTCTTCTCCCAGGCAAGACCCCGGGGCCTCTCCAGAGACTCCTGAGTATGACTCTGAGCTCTTGGCCGAGACTTTAGCAGTGTGGTCTGATGGCCAGAGGTGTCCACCTGCCTGAGATCCTGGTGTCCTCTGGCTCCAGGTCACGTCCGCAGGCAGGGATGCTGCACAGGCTCAACCACATCCTTCCCACTCTCTCCAGATCTGGCCAGTCTTTGGTGAGACCATTCATCCTGCTTAGTCGTCATGAGCCCTGGACGCAGCCTGACCTCCCACCCCACTCTCCCTCCTGGGCAGCCACAAATGGCCCTTGAGGTTGGCTCGATCCGTACACGGTCACTTCACCATATACCATCTCTGCCTTGACAACCTCCAAACCCAAGGGCCCCACAAAGTCTGCTTTCTTCACTCTTGAACAGCAGAGTGTCAATCAAGAAAGTTAAAAAAAAAAAAAAAGAAGAAAGAAAGAAAGGAAGAAAGAAAGAAAGATGGTGTTTAGATCCCATAGCTTCTGCGTGACTTTCCCTCCAGGGCCCCTACAGCTGGTCCAGACCCTTCCATTCTCCTCATTCACTTCCACTGGGCTCCCTGAGGCCCCTGCACACCTGAATTTTGACCACTGTGCCCACAACAGCTATGCTGGCAAAGACCCAGCCAGGTACCCCATCCACCACTGCCTCACAAGGCTTTGTAATGCTTTTCACTAGCTACCAGCCAACAAACAGTAAGGTCACAACACATGGCTGGAGTCAAAAATGACAGAAGTATGGCCATTCAACAAAGACGAGGAGACCAAGGAGACCTAAGCGGCCTCTGGCATGGGTGCTCTGGTCTCGGATTCCCCAGGCTGCTTCTTCCACAAGCCCCCACACGAGGGAGGCCCCTGCACTCATCCACTAGCGTCTCCTGTGGGCTGGCTCCTATGTCTGAGTAGTGGCCCTGTGGACAAGGAATGGGCTCTGGGAAGAGGCAGTGCCCAGAAATGCTGAGGCTCTCTCTCGACCTTGGCCAAGGACACCTGCTCCCAATCCTCAACCCTGGGCTGCCGGCAGGGGACAGAAGGCCAGGCAGACCTCTTGGTTTACTCAGGTTGGAGTAGATGAGCTGTTCTCCCTTGTGATGTCCCCTCACGTCTCCCAGGAGGTGCCCAACCATCCAAACCACGTCTGAGCTTCCCAAGCATAAATACAATTCTCCAGAATGAAATGACTACACAAGGGCCGCAGAGCGCTAGAAGAAACGAAGTGGCAGGGGTGGGGGGTGGGGGAGCATGGTCTGAGAACCTCCTTCCACTGGGAGCTGCCTAAGGGGCAGCCCACGCACGCATCCCAGGCCTCTGTCACACTGTCACCTCTCCTCCTTGACCGTGTGCACCCCATTCCTGACACTTCCCCAGCTCCTGCCTAGGCTCTGGCATGGCACAGGCTCCCAGGGGCATAGGTGGATCCTATGCCCTGAGCCCGTGGTTTCACAGCAACCAAGCCTCGGAGCACAGCCCCAGGGGCAGGCAGCAGCCCTAGTTCTGGGTTCCAGGCCCCTAGTTGGATGGCTGCTCACCTCCACCGTGAGCCAGCTGGGGTGCCCAGTGATCCCGGTGCAGCTCAGTCACTCCACAGGAACCTGAACGCCAACTGCATAGCCATAAACACCAGATTTAACTCCCACCCACGTCCCGCCCACCATCCTCTCCCAAATAGCTCTGGGGACTTAAACCAAATGAGCATGGCTCAAGATTATGTTTCAGAA